TCGTTTCGGGTGGGCAGGCCCTGCCCGGTGCTCTCTGCCGTCCGCCCGGCCCCGCTGCCCCCCAGGAAAGGTGCCACGGAGAGCTCGTAGCATAGATCTCATCCTCCCCTGTCTGTCTCAGGTGAGCGCCTAAGCTCTCGCCACCGTTGTACGGTGCCTGTGTGTCACGCACTCGAAAGTGAGAGGCCAATTAGTCATAAAGCAAAACCTGGTCAGTAATCGGTCTTGCCTCGGATGTGGTCAGGCATCCCACTGTCATCACTGTATCACCAGTGTAGGGATGGAGGACTGTGGCTTTCAAGTTCTTTGGGTTTGATTTTCTTCAAATGGACCATAACACAAGGCTATCTTACTAAGCATTAACCAAATAGCGTAATAGGACTACACTGTGAGTGTTCTTAAAATAGTTTCTTTTTTTTTAATTTAAAATTATTTACATGCTTTTCTGCTGCTGTCAGGGCCTCTATCATTAGCAATACCTGGCAGGTTATGGCCGTTCTAATGGATGACCAGTACTGGATGGATTTCCCAGGTTGCTATACTTATCAGTGAGGGTGCCACATACAGCTGTGCTTTGGATAACAGGAATCTAGGTCGACGAATCTAGTTATATGACAGCTTTTTTTTTTTCTTTAAGCTTGATATATCTAGGGGCATATCCTTTGGAACTTTAAGCTGAGACACCAGAAAGACAGACTCCTAGAGTGGGTTGTAGGATCTCTGCCCTGCTAGAGAAATTATAGAAAAGACTATTAGCCTGTGACCGAGAACCTGAGTTCTAACTCCTCTATAAAAATCAAATTAGTTAACCTGGAAGTTAAACTTTTTAAAGCTAAATCAGATATTTCCTCACTGCAAGTTGAGTAGGTAAGCCAAAATCATAGTAACAGACAAGCCTTATTTGGCAAGGTATAGGTAATTTCTACCTTAAGCCTCTATGATGTGCTCAAAATACTTTGAAATCTCTTGTTTTACAACTTGGAGGCCTGTAGCTAGTGGTGTCCCCCGGGGTCAGTCCTGGGTCCAGTCTTGTTCAATGTATTCATCAATGACCTTGAGGAAGGGACAGAGTGCACCCTCAGCAAGTTTGCTGATGATACCAAACTGGGGGGAGAGGCTAGCACACCAGAAGGCTGTGCTGCCATTCAGGGGGACCTGGACAGGCTGGAGAGGTGGGCAGAGAGGAACCTCCTGAAGTTCAACACAGGCAAGTGCAAGGTCCTGCCCCTGGGGAGGAATAACCCCCTGCAGCAGGACAGGCTGGGGGCTGACCTGCTGGAAAGGAGCTCTGCAGAGAAGGACCTGGGAGTCCTAAGTTAAGCATGAGGCAGCAGTGTGCCCTTGTGGCCAAGAAGGCCAAAGGGATCCCGGGCTACATGAGGCAGAGTGTTGCCAGCAGGTGGAGGGAGGTGATCCTGCCCCTCTCCTCAGCCCTGGGGAGGCCTCACCTGGAGTGCTGTGTCCAGTTCTGGGCTCCCCAGGACAAGGGAGACATGGCACTCCTGGAGAGAGTCCAGCGGAGGGCTCCAAAGATGATTAGAGGGCTGGAGCACCTCTCCTAGGAAGAAAGACTGCAAGAGCTGGGCCTGTTGAGCCTGGAGAAGAGAAGATTGAGAGGTGATCTCATGAATGTGTACAAGTATGTGAAGGGGGAGTGTCGAGAGGATGAGGCCAGTCTCTTCTCCGTGGTGCCCAGCAACAGGACAAGGAGCAATGGGCGGAAACTCAAAAGCAGGAAGTTCCATCTGAACCTGAGAAAAAACTTCTTGACTGTGAGGGTGACAGAGCACTGGAACAGGTTGCTCAGAGAGGTAGTGGAGTCTCCTTCGCTGGAGATCTTCAAAACCCGTCTGGACACAGTCCTGCTTAATGTACTCTAGGTGACCCTGCTTGAGGAGGGAGGTTGGACTAGATGATCTCCAGAGGTCCCTTCCAACTTTGGCCGTTCTGTGATTTGATGAACTTCAATATACAGGACATTTTGCTGGAAGACTCAGTGTACTCAGTGGCTGAGGCTTAGTGGGTAAAATTTCCTTTTGAAATTAATAGTTTGATATTGAAATAGTGATTGTACAGCCCTGATACATGGGTAGGCTTACACCTAAGTTTTGTATAATCGTTTTACTAACACCGTTGTATATTAGTTTAAAGAATGTTGCTAGAATTGGATTGACTGCTGATTCAGGGGAGAGCTCTCAAAAATGGCAAGTAGAATATAATGTTTGTACATAATATATAATGGAAGACAATTATTTTCCTTTTATGTTTGATGCAGCGTTATGAAAATGTTTGCCGTTAATGCTGAACATTAACTTCTCTCTAGTTCTGACTTAAACTTGTGCAGCAGAAAAGAAATAAATGTTACCCTTCCTATAAGTGGGAGGAGGCACTGGAATACCAGTCAGATTTAGCAGTCCTTCAGGTATTATGAAAGAGGACCATGCTTTTAATTATAAAATCTAAATTACAAAATGCACAGGTTACAAACTGCACCTGTTGGTATCACTGGCTTTTAATTGGCCATCCTAAGGCTGTAATGGAATAGTTCGTGGAAAATTAAATTACTATATCGTTTTTAAACCACTTCTAATATTTTTTTAGATATGTACAAATTAGTCATCATTCCTTTGGAGTACAGCAAAAGGCTTTTTTTTTTTTTTCTTTTACACCTGACATTAGCAACATATTTAGGGAAAGGAGCGATGCCTTTACTTTTTCAGTGAAAGGGATACTGAGTGCAACAGTGGTCTTTAAGATGGTGGGAGAGGTTGGAAAGGGACTCTTATTTAACATGCAGGGTTTTCTCTGGTCTCAAAACCATCTACTTAAGACTGAGTTCTCTAAGCTGAGGCAACATAAATGCTTATCAGGATATACCTTTTTAGATGAGCCAGCTAGGATGAGAGAACCGTTACCTACATTAACATAGCCAAGCTCGTGTGTGTCATTGCTTCTGGTACCTGACAAAGCTAATTCAAAGTGAAGTCAGGTAATTGCATAATGCTATTGAAATCTGTCTTAAATTGCATTTTTTTTTGGATCCTGGAAATTGTAGTTGGAGTCTTAATTGATTATGTTTAAAAATGAGCATGTGACTTTTTAACCTTGCATGTCCTTGGCTGTTTGCCTATCTTCAAAATTAAATGTCCTGATCGATTTTAAAGCTAGGGAATATGCAGGGAGAAAAAAATGATGCAAAAATTAAATTTTTCAGCTCATGGTTCCCCAGCCTGGATCACCTGTCAGAGATGCTTAAAGCTTTACTCTCCTTTGGCTTAATTTGGGGGGATGGATGGGTGCCCAGCTGACAATCTCATTTTGAGTACTCAGAATCAAATGAATTATTTAGTGTTACATAATCAAGTAACCTAATGGTGGACTTGACTTCCTAAATGAAAATACAAAAGCCTAGGTATACGAACTTCTGTTTTTCACCTGTAACACAAGACTGTATATATTTTTTGAAAATGCATATCTGATTATATTAGACTGAGAAGATTACCTGAATGTTAACACCCTTTCTTTCCTCGCTCAGCATCTGTGCATGTGAACTTAATTAAAAAAAGCCAGTATTTACCAAATCAGAGTTTTGGCACAAAGCTTTAATTTTGTATTGAGGAGAGTGGTGTACTCTTATATCGCTGTGCTAATCTAAAGTAGTGAAATAGAGTCCGTGAGATTTTTCCATTTTGGTTCTCTTACAGAGATCTATTGTTTTAGAGCAGACAGGAAGGGACATCTGCTCCAGCTTCCGTTTGGCTTTCTTGGTGCCATTTGTGTAATCGTAGGATAATAAACAAAAATTTCTGCTTCTAAATCACCCTTTAATTTCAGATCCTAGGTTATTTAAGTGCTGACATAAAATTACATTTAAGCACATTACCTGGGGAAGATGTTCAGAACAAGCAAGTAGAACAAACTGTATTTTCTTCCTGTACTAGGGCTGATTGGGTCTGATAGAGCTATAGATTGAGGTTGGAGTTTCTTATCCTAGCCAAATTGTGTAGAATCTCTTTAAAAAAAACAAAACAAAACAAAACTGAAAGTATTTGTTAAGAAATATTATCCTTGTGTGTCATACAGTCAAATCTAGATCTACCTTTTAAAATATGTGCATTTATGTTGTAATTCTAAACAAAATTACAATCAAAGTACTATTAAACCCTTAGGAAAACAAAATAACTTTAGGTCCTCAAGGGAAAACTGCACATGAATCTTGCTTACCTCTCTTGAAAATCCAGGAATCTGTGGTTTTGAAGTGCTATCAACAAATTAGAACCCTTGATTAAAATACATATACAATGAGGATAAAAGTTATTGTTAACACTGATGAGCCTGTCTTCAATGTGTGACCATTAAAAACATGAACATAAAGGTTTTATGTAGTCACAAAGCATGTTTGAATGTCTGGAGTGCTGATCTTCAGTATATGCATAGAAATAGTTGGACTGGATTTCTGGGTTTTTTTTGTTTGTTTGTTTGTTTGAAATAGTAACTCTCAATGTATTTACCTGAGACTTTTTTATTATTTATATAAATATACGTTTGCAAGGAGAGTGTTTTTGTCACTTCCACATTTAATCTTAATTTTTATTAAATAATTTCACAAATGTGCAGGATTAATACAGAAAAATCTTCAAATGCCTTTCACTTAAATAATAATTATTTAAATGGTAGATTATGCTATATTTAGTCCTGAATTATGTTCTCGTAACTTCAAATGACATCTTTGCATGAGAATATCTGGTTGCATCAAAATATTTTTTTAGCTGTTTTTGTTTAGAGAAGTTTACTCTCTGATCTAAAGTTTTTTTTTTTTCCGATGCTAGGAGGAAAAAAAATGTTTTAGGAAGTGCCACATAGAAACATTTCCAGCATCGTTTTTCTTTTTTTACAACAAAAATCTGTCACAGTCCTTTTTTTTGGAGAGCTGCAAAGATTTATATTTAAAGTAGAATTATCAGATGTAAGTCTATACAGCATTTAGCGTAATGAAAAGTGGCAATGATGTGGAATGTCGTCCCAATAAATACAAAATAAAACCTTTTAATCAAGCATCAAATGTAGGATAAAAATGAGTGAATTTGAAGAACTGGAAAAACCTGCATATAATTTGGTTAGATAAATTGATATCTGTGCTTCTGTGGTAAACGTTACTGTGATATGGGAGCTGAAGAGTGTACCTTTGGTTCATTCTTGATAAATTTTTACTTATGTTTATATGAAAATTATCTAAAACTATTGTCCTGACTTAACATTTTTTCTTTCTTTATAGCTTATTGTACTTACAGAATTGAAGACAGTTTGCTGGTTAACAATGCCTGCAAGTAAGTATTGTCATCTTAAGTACTCTCTAAGGGAATATTTAGGGATGTTTACTATAAAATATATTTCTTGGGTAGGCTAAAAATTCTAACAAGGTTAAGATGGAGGAGAAGAAACCTAGTGATGGTACTTGCTGTTGAAGACCTTAATACTCTCCAACCTTTACAATTTTAGATTCAGGTGTATTTTTCAAAGGAACCTAATGTGGACTCTGCTTTCTGCTGTTCAATTACATGTGCACAACTTAATGTTGATTAATTATGTGATTTAAAGAAGACAGCATGTTATTCCAACACAGACATAAATCTATTTTTGGAAAAATAATAAATGTGGCTTTCAGATGATAGAATTACTATTTAGGATATAAAGTAATAAGACTTAGGTATTTTAACATGTAAAGGGAAATAGGATTTTGAGGGAGCTGCTTCTAAGAGTCAAGCTCTTATATACCTTGAGGAGAAGCATTTTCACTTATATGAAATCTCAGGTTATGAAATATGTTAAAATAGTATTAATCCCAACTAAAATGTGCATGATTTTCTATTTTAAATTTTTACAAAAATCCTACATAGTCTTTGCAGTAAAATTACTAACATTGGTCACTGGATAAAGCAGACTGCTTTATCTTGAGTATAAAGACTTCTTCAAAAGGTACGCTTTATAGTCATTGAATACATTCTAATTGCAGGTTTGTAATGAGATTCACAAATACTTGATTTAATCAGAAATTGTTTGAGTGGTTTTTTTTGTTTGTTTTTTTGTTTTTTTAAGATGGCTTAAGATTTGTAATAAGCTGTGGCTATTGAATCCTTAAAAATATCTTACAAAAATTTTAGTTGTTGTATTACATGGTCACACTTCTATAAATGCATATTCTATAACTGATAACATCTTAATATGTAATGTTGTTTGAACTCTTGCACTGTCAGTGCAAAATATCTTACCGATAAATTTTTTAGAATTTGTATTATGTAAAAAAAGAAAAATTTCCTTTACATAGACATGCTTATAAAATGAGTTTATTAAACAAAAAAAGTAGCCAATATTAAAAAAAATATATAGTTTTTAATACTCCTAAGGCTTTTGTCATGCCACTTATTTTTATTGTTTTTTTTTTTTTTTAAACAATTAAACTGGAAAAATAAAATTTTTCTTTCCATGTCAACTTTGTATATGTTGAGGGTCATTATCAATATTGTGTATCTTAATGTAATTCATTATAATATTATATTTATCTTTAGTGAGACATTCAAAACTATGTAGCCATTTATTTCTCTTCTATGTATATTATACCTGCTGTCTGAGTGTGTGGATGAAGGGAAAGCAACTTAACCGGTTGCAGCTTATATGACTTAAATTTTATCAATTTTCTCCTCTCCAATAATGACAGTAATAAAGAAGCATGATTAAATCTTAAAGTAAGCAAGCAAGCATCACTTTGCTGCTAGTTATACCTTTTATTGATATCCATAGAGATAGGCTTCAAGATTGATGTCTATAGAGATAGGCTTCAGGAGTTTTTCTTTTTTGTATGTGGAAGGGAAAACCTCTGTCTCCTAATTTAAGCTTCTCTAGAGATGCCAAGGGATTCCTTTCAGAGCATATTGAGGAAACATAGCTTGTTAGTGTAGTGTGTTAGTCTGAAGTCTTAAATTATTTGTCCTTGAAATCTGAACAGCTCACTTGTTAGTACAGTTCTTCCCCAAACTCCATGGAACTCGCACATCCCACATGTTTACAAATGCATTGAGCATCTTTTAGAGTAGTGTGTAGAAGTGGCTGTTGGAGTGAAATAATTTCCAAAAATATTTTCCATCATACTAGAATGAGTTCTACTGACGTAGAATAGTTTGTCCCACCTGCTTTCTTGAGTCTCTGTTGGTTCCTTCAAATCTTTTTACCTCTTTTTCTAACATAGTAGTTTACAAATGTCTAGATATAAAAGTAGTGGTTTGGAAAGTCAGGGAAAGCCAAGATATTGGTGTTATGGAAAAGACTGGACAGAAAGGCTTTATTAGTCATCCAGAACTGAATTTTTAGAGATGTTTTAGAAGTCAATCTTGAAGTTACTGCATGTGAAATGTATGTAGTACAGTGCACTTTAAATCTCTCTTAATGTTAGCGGTCTAAACGTTAGTCATGTGGTCCACAGCAGTCAGAGTTGGGATGTGTTATCAAGAGAGGAAAAGAGAGGAATTGGCTTGTGAGAGGCAAGCATGGGCAGTTAACCAAAGGTAATGTTCTTGCTTAACCTTATCTCAGTAATGTGTATTGATCCTTGCAGTAGTTGTTTGTTACCTATTGGAATATCATAGTTCTTATACTACTGTTTATTAATCCCACTTGAGAATATGAGGAGGGGAATATGGGGAAGCAGCAGTATTGGTGTAGTTAATGAACTAATGTGAAGGTTTTAGTCTTATTACAGTAATACTTGGTCCATAACGACAAAATTTCCAATGTATTCTCTTAATTTTGAGATGCTAAAAGTCCTTGGTTTTGACTGGACATGATAGGTCATTTACATTGACATTTATTCTGCAGTGAAGATGTACTGGTATACAACCGCTGCAGCAGTTGTAGCGAGCTTGCCAAAGCAATGATTTTCCCAATAGTCCTTAGAACTGTGACTTTACATACAGTTCCTCATGTGCAAATAACATGGGCGTTGCTGCAAGAAACGCGTACAGACTTGCCATCTTAATCTGAACTTGAAAGTTGCAAGTTGTGAAATGTTAAGAAGATAAATGTGTTTTCTCACTGGTGTTATAATATAGTAGAGGTAAATTGGTTTGAACTAAAGTTATTTTATTAGCTGATCTAGGTGTGGCTTATATCGGTATGAAGAAACCTTTGATTAAGAGATGGGTTAGTACTTTTGTTATTTACCAAAAAAAAAAAAGTCTTTGCAGATGGGAAAATCTTGCAATTGGATAACCTTTGCAGTAAATGTAGTATGTGTTTTTCTCCATCACAAGTGTGTGCTGTATTTATTTCCCTAATCAAGCAGCTTGTACAGATGAGTTCATTTTTCATATTACATTTAACTTATTAACGTTATTAACTTATTATTAAACAGCTTTCCTTTGGCTTTTTGTCAGTCGCATTTGGATGGAAATGTTGAGAACACTATGGTTAAGAAAATTTTTTTTTTTCCTCCAGAAACAGCTAACCTACTTAACTTCTTTATTTCCTTGACTTCAGTTAACTGTTTGACTTAAAGGCAGATTTTATGCTAAAACAAACCTGCTTGGTTTGGAAAAATTGCCAGTGACATAGGTAAGAAAGAAAGCTGCATGCTGTAATAAGCTACTTTATTTGCAGTAGCTATATATATGAATGTTAATTTAAATGATTTATATTCTTATTTATTCCTTGAATTCACTTAAATTGTATCTTTCATTTTCAAAGTTTTGTTAATAATGATTGCTATGCTAAACTGATGTTAGCTGGTGATTGGCAGGCCCTTCATGTGCCACTGAAACATGCAAATCAAAACAAATAAATATAAATAAGGGAATATATTAAAATGTCATATACCCTCCAGTCTGACCGATGTAACTTGTCTACATTCTTACCATGAATTAATAGTATTGCAAAGTTAGTAATATGAAAATCTCCTATAATATTTTGTCAAATATTTGTCAGTTAGTAAGAGATCCCTTGATCTGCGGTAACAGATATGCCTGTTATGTGGAAGATTTTCCACCGTTTGGCATGTTCTTGGCTACAGTGAAGTCACTTTTTTGGTAACTTCAGAATGCTGAAGCAATCTGGGCAAGCAGTATACTTAAACTGTGTAAAATTTTGTTGCCTCAGCTTTCCAAATACCATATAGCTTTTTACTAGTCATTTTTGCAGTGACTGCTAGCCTGTGCTTGAGGTGTACCGGTAGTTTCCATAGTTTGTGTGACGTGAAAGTAACTAGAAGGCAGAAAAGTTGAATGGAGTGGGAGTGGTTATCTTTTTTTTTTTTTTTTTTCCTTTTATTCTTGGAGCTTATTGCTTCCAGTTTGGTTAGTTCATAGTCTTTGTGGCTGTTTGTTAGTATTTGACAACTTTTTTTTTTTTTAGTCTTCTCTGTCTGCCTCGCTCTCTGGAGGGATGTTTGGTTTGAAGGTGTGTGTGTGTCTGGGAGGGCTCAATGACAGTAAGACTCCAAAACTTAGGGCTAAACAAATTCTTTTTTCCTCTTCTTTTTTACTGTTTCCCTTTTTACTTTGAAAGTCTTATCAAAGGAAAGTCATAATTCAGTGACAGAATGCCTATTATTATAAAGCAGAAGACTCAACTTTGTCAGCTGTCTTCTAATACTTTAAAAAAGGCACTCTTTTTAAAAATCCTTTAAAATTACACTTAAGTAACATCCCTTTATTAAAAAGAACTTCTTGTCAAGCATAAGGAAGAAAATGGCACTTGGAATTTATTGAAAGATGAGTGGATGCTTAACTCATTTTAAGAGGCAGATAATCACTTAGTTTTGAGTTCTTTCTCCAACAGCAATTTAGGGAAATTCAGAATTGTTTACCTTTTGCAGTTTTAGTTTTGGTTCTGTGTATCATAAGTGTTATCAGGATTGCTTGTGAGAAGAAAAGTTTTATTTCCCTTGAAATACAGTTTTAAAATACCATGGTGGTTGGAGATATAGTCCTAACTCTGCCTGTACAAATATTTAAGGCATTAATGCCTTAAATAATTTTTAGCAAAAAAATTAAGTCATAGCTCTAAAAAAGCTTTCTCCTTGTTTTCTGTCTAGCAGACTTTTTCTTTATATTGAATATATTTTTTCAAGTACCCCTGATGCTTTAAAGCCACAAATAGGGCACTCTCGCTTAATGAAGTGTTTTTCATAATTGCTTTAATTCATTTTATGTGCATTAGGAAGCTTATCAGTTTTCTGATCACCATTGTTGGTTACTTAGAATACAGTGTTAAAATAAATATAATGCTATGCAAAGTGCATTTTTGTTATTAGTGAAGAGTTACGTGGGGGAATATCTCAAATCATTATATGATACTTGGCTCTAATCTCAAAGAGGATTACAGACAGTGGGAGCCCTATGTTGTCTGTCAGTGGAAGCTCTTAACCTAAGTCCTCCCCTACTCGCTCTTTTTTTTTTTTTTGAATTACTAATCAAGCCAACCTGCGAACTTTTAAAACAGCTGCTAAGGGAAGGTCATGGTTTGGGCTGCATTTGGCAGTTTACCGTTCACTGAGCTGATCTAAGCAGAGATCTTTCAGTCAGTGAAGGAAAGCTCAGAATATCTGTAACTACTGTATTTTGATTACAAAGTCAAACACTTTATATAATGGATTCTTTGCATAATAATACACAATTAAGCTTTTGCATATTTAAAGTATTAGGTACACATTTTACACCTAATTCTTAGATGTTGTCTTTTCTATACTGAGAAGAGAAAATAAGAACTCATCTTAATATATGCTTTGATTAAGCTAGGGAAAAAAAAAAAAACAGGAACTTTTAGCAGGTAAATTGTGCTTTGTAGCTCTATTCATTTTGCTCATGATACTGTAATCAACTTTGTGTGCCAAAGAGGTGACTGCCTCCATATTTTCTAATGAATTGTCAGGGTTTCATTTAGATTTGTTAATTTGCAGTAGGTGCTTGTTTTGTTGCTTTCTTTAGCAGTTAGTGCTCTTTGTGTATGCATCATGCACACCCCACTTGGGGAAGTTAGTGTTAGGAGCGACTCCACAGAAGGTGGAAGTCACATGCAGTAACACATTGCAAATAACTTACACAAACAACATTCTTCCCATAAACTGCAATAGTCTCTCATTTGCTTTGCAGCACGCTTCAGTATAGCCAAGAAATGAACAATTTTGTCTTGTTTGTTTTGACAAGCAACAGACAAAACACTGAAAAGTATATTTCTTCAGCTGATGTCATTTATACGCGTGCACAATCCGGACATATAACTGTTTAGGAAATCAGATACTTTGGAACAAAACTTAAAGGCTCAAATATGAACAGAATTAAGTGCTGTTAAGCTATACATACACTTTAGTGAATACTAAAATGTAGCTTAATAGTATCTTTTCAATTTTTATTGAAATACTGCTATCATTGTTATTTACAGAAATTGCTTTGCAACCGGGTTTTCCTATCAGTCGATTAACCTTCATGTGCCACATTGTTTGTTATTGATTTCTCAGTCATGGGACGAAAGGGTAAGAAGGTTCATGCTGATTATGCATGCGAGTGCCCTATTTTTTAGTGCATGACAACAAAGGAATTGATTTGGGAGGGGACAAGTTTTCCACCATGTAATTAAATGCATGTCTCTGTGGAATAACTGGGGTTAACTGTGCTTTTAAAAATGCTTTAGCCTGCCTGTTACGTGGTCAGTCTTTCCCTTCCCCACTATACTACAGCGGCCAGTGATTGGGGGAAAAAAAAAAAAAAAAAAATGTGTCTTGTGAATTACTGCAGATAGAAGTTAATTTTCTGCCTGGCTCTTGGCTTTTGATAAGTGCTATTTCATTTCCAGAAAGTCACGTCATTCAGGATAAATTCACACAGGAATTAGACAGGAATGAGTAGAAAATTGGGGTAAGTAGATGGATGAGATTTTTCGTCATCTAATAGCATGGAGATTTCAGTTGATGATTATGTCCAAAGGTGAACAGTGAAGGATTTTGTTGTTTTAAAGGTGGTTGGCTGAATAGCCAAAGTTCTGCTCTGCTCTATGTTTCTGGAGTTATCATTAATAGAGTGGAGTAGCAAATTCTATGTTTGTTGTTGTTGCTAATGTCTTAAAGGGAATGACCTATGACTCTTACTAGTAACCCTGTTCTTTGAAAGAATGCAAATCTTTTGGTACCCAGAAATAGGTCAATATGAAACTTTTTCAACACAGAGAAAATGTTATATTTGGAAATAAGTACACAAACAGTTATACAGTCCTTTTCTTGCACAGATGTATTTGAGAATCGTAAGACTGGCAGGTCAAGCATTTGTAAATTAGGAAATTTTTTAACTTACTTAACTGCAATACATAAAGACAAATTAGTTAAATCTATTTATGAAATATTTGCATTTCTCTTGAGGAACTTATATTTTTTTGTAGAGTGAATATTGAAGTAGTCAGACTACTATGTTCTTCATAGTAAAAGATGTCTCATGATAATGAAAGAACTCTCTAGCCTTTGATAATTCATATGTGCAAATAGCAGAGCTCGTGAAATATAAACTTCTAAAATGCTAGTATTTTGTATTTAAGAACTGTGAATTCTTTGAAATATTTAATCATTTTTCTGGACTAGAAACATGGTGGACTAGAGTAAGAATTAATATCATCTGTAAAAATGAGCAAATTCCCCAACAATTATGTGAGAAAAGGTAAACATTTGATTTCAAAATAGATGTTTACTTCAGTTATTTTTAAATTTTGCTAAAAAAGAAATAAAGGATTTGTATCATAGTAGAAAGAACAAAAGTGAGGAGCATCATGGCCTCTAAACACAATCAGTTTTTCATCTTGTTCCTGTGTCGGTTATTTTAAATGTAATAATTTCTTTAGATATGTAAATCAGGAGAGATTTAGTAAATGTTTTTCCCCCCATCATTAAACTGGATTTAGCAGACCAGAATACTTCAGTCTCTATGCCTACAGGGCAAGAGTTCCTAGCAGTATTAATCCCGTTATAGTTGGGCATGAATGAGAAGGCGGATAGGAATGTCTCAGCTTGAGTCAGGTCTATTGTTGCAATACCTTTTTATTGTGTGCTTCATCCTAACTATAAAACTAACAGAAATAACTTGTCCAAGTAATAGAACAATTGGAAGAGCCCTAAACTGATATTTCTATCCATGTATCGAATCTGTAAGAGCAACAGCCCAACTCTTCTTCTAATAGCTTAATTCTTTCCAAAGTGATCTTTAATTGTGTCGGGTCCAAGAGAAAATGTTAATTCTTTTTTCCTGTGAAAGTTAAATTCTAGGCCAAACTTGCAGGATTTACTTTGCTGTAGATAATTTAAATCTATATTCTGTGACTGTTCATTTCTCTAATTTTCTAATGCTCATAGTTTTCAAAATTTGTATCTTTACACGCTTTTAACAGTTGCTGTGAAACATTGAAGCTAAAGAGGGGATTATAAGGAATAGAGGAATTGGGCTTTAGGCAATCTTGCATAACAAATCACTTTTTTCATTCTGAGGTTTTATGTGTGTTTGTATTAATGCTGATGGGGCTTTCCTGTTTTAGATCATCTGCGGATTAAGTTTGAAACAATGATTGCTTTATCACTGAAGCCATGTTGTGGATATTGCAAAGCTCACAGGGCTATAACATGTTTTTGTATGCTAAGTGAAACCTGAGTAGAATTTTAGGCCTCAAGATTTTCCAAAATAATTGGCACCTCTGTGACTTAATCTTGCTTTTGATGCCTAGCTTGAGACCTGTTAAAGAACTTAAGTTTTTTTACTGTTATTTCAGAACAAAAAAGGGGAGGGTGGGGAAGGGTCACAACTGTGTATCTAAACTGTACCTGGACATGTTCAAGTATTTTACTGTTTGAGGACTGTGCTTAGCCTTGAAATGGGCTCCCAAAGTCTTTAATAGTGTTTCAAGAATGCTTACTCTAGCTCTTATCTCAGAATTTCAAACCAGCTATGTCACCGTACTAAATCAGTACTTTTTCCTTTTTCTTTTTTTTTTTTTTTTTTTTAAGCTGTCAGTATGTAAGGAAAATGTGATGCAAAAACTAAAAATCTGAAGATAAATCTTCAGAGACATTGTATGGGTTCTTTCTGTAGTTCTAAGAAATACCGAATTATCTCTGTGGTTAAAACAAATTCGCCCACTTGCTACAAACTGGAGCATAACTGTTTCAAGGTTGGGAAGGGACTTTAAGATGCCAACACCTAATTTGTAAGCTTCATATGTTATGAAATATGAATAGTTATTATAGTTAAGAACTGTGTCTGACGTCACTGAGGTGACAGAATTTTTGTATATTCTTACAAATGCAGTGCAAGCTGGACCCAAAACTTTCTGTATATTCCCCTCTCATACACACTCCCTGGGTTTTAAGCTGTTACTGACAGTAGTTGGTAACAAATGTGCTACATTCAAAGTCAGCGTTAATATTTCTTTAGACATGAGTTCAAAGTTCTTCAGAACTGCCAGAATGTTGCTTTTGTAAACTGATTTTGGTGTTGGAATTGTGAATGGTGAGGAGTAGCAGTGTTTGGGTAAGAGTGCTTGGATTGCTGTAGGAGACGATGAATCTGTGTGCCCACGATGTTCTGTCTAGTATCTACGGAAAACTAATGAGACGCCTGAGAGTAGATGATTAACAATTTGTGTATATGTAACTATTTCTTTGTATATAATGATCCACCTGTCAGTCTTCTAGACTGAACAGTTCAGTCTGGTGGGAGCAGAAAAGGGGCAGAGCCATTAGGTACTGAAGATGCACAGCAGAGGGATCAGCTGCCTGTACATACTTTGTACCTGTGACTGATGAGAAATAGCAGAATGGAGGAACTGCTTTTTAGTTAGCTGGGCTATATGATTCTGGATTGAGTCCTCAAGGCATATGTTCTACCCCTAGGTATACTCCTTTTTGGAGAGGATAAGACAATTCAGAACCTCGTAACAGCTACTTTTCAGTTATTCTTGACACTTGACTCCAACCTGGGGGCACTTTTTAGGACTAATGGGAAAAGTTAACAATTGCAAGGATATTTTATAATTGAGATTAACTTGGAATGACTTAGTGTAACATTTATCTTTAATATCTGTATTAAATTATTAATATTAAAATTTGTCACATGAAGTTCTATTTGCTTGTGTTTTTAGTGCAAAGCTCCTTGAATGAAAGCAGGGTGAGCTTCTTGCCACTGCAGCTGGTCTTGTCCATAGTTTGCCAGGGGTTCTGGGCCAAGAAAACAAGCTTGGTCTCATGAAGCCACGCTGTCTTTAGAACTTGGAAAAACAAGTAAAGTAAAGGTCATGAAACTTCTTGACATCTCACCACATTCAGATTTCGCATGCATGAAATTTCAGGTAGTTATTGCCCTAAGAGGTCTTGCAAACCTGGACTCTTGATGACCAGTTGCTAACTGGTTTGAAGTGCACATATCTTCTCTCGGGCAGCTGATGGTCAAAGTCTCCCAGTGCCGTCCTTCATGCTGTCTTCAAATAGTGCAAGTGTGTAGTATTAACAAAATCATCTGTGCCATTGGCCTTCAGGACTCCCAGAAGGAGGTAGCTTTTGACACTGTTCAGTCTTTTGCTTGGCGTAGGGGAGCTACAGTTTTAGAAATGGCAAAAGATACTACTCTGCTATGCAGACTTTGGTTGACCAGAAGGGTAGTTCTGGAGACATGTTGGCAGTTTTCCCAGGTGTCAGGAGTCTTTTCAGTTTCTTTTGAGACTCTGGCCTTGGATTGAAGGGGTGTTCTGAAACCTTATTTTCAAGCGTAGGCAGGATCACTCATGGTGTTTGGATGAATGTCTGTATTGTAAGAGATGCCAGGTAATACTTATATCCCTCGGACTTGTGGCTGTACTGCAACGTTGATGGATCCCATTAATTGTATTATTACCACGGTCAGAGTGCAAACTTGTGTATCTGTGATATCAATGCAAGATGGTTGCCTTTGCACATAGCCTAAACATTCACAGAATGGTAAGTTGGAACAGACCTCTGGATATCATCTAGTCCAACCCGCCGCTCAAGCACGGTCACCTAAAGCATTTTGCCCAGGACTCCGTCCAGATGGCTTTTGAATATCTCCAAAGATGCTGTAGGCACTTCCTTGCCTGCACGCAAATGCTTGAGGTACTTGCTATTGAGCCCTGTTTTGCTGATTGCATGATCTCTATAACTCTCCTGTTCTCACATCTTTCCTAGTTGAAAGTCCTCCTTACTGGGTTGGCCAGCATGTTGGCAAAGATGTGTACGCCCCATTTAGTGAGGTGGATCCTATCTCTCTCAAGCAGATGCCAATATTCAGAGTCCCATGGTCATAGAAACCAGAACCCTGTTGCCAATCCCAGCTGTGCAGCCAATTAGTATCTATCTACTCATCCTCCCATCCTTCCCCTGCGCTGGGAGGACTGAGGAGAAGACCACCTGGGCCCCACTAACCCCTGACAACCACCCCACAGAGCTCTGTAGTCACGTTTGATACGTTCCAGGTAGCCCTTAGCAGTATCGTTGGTACTCGTGAGGAAGAGCAGCAGGGGGTAAGAGTCGAAGGGGTGGACAAGCTTTGTCAGTCTTTCCACGTTGTCCTGGATCTGGCCCCCTGCAAACAGCAAACCTCCCTAGACAGGAGGTCAGGTCAGCAGATGGATGCCCCTGTCCTCTGCAACAGGGATTCAGTCACTTGCTGCTTTCTCCCGTGCTCCTGCGTGGTGCGGGGTCTCTTGGCTCAAATGCTTGATGTAAAGCCATGCCCAGCTCCTCCTCAGCTTGGAGGGCGGTGAACGTGTTTATCAGCTACAAGCCTTTAGGAGGAGTAGGAGCCTTCCTTGTCATGTGAGTAAGTGACCAATTTCCAGACTTTGTCGTCTTTGGAGTTATCACTTACTGATGTAAGATATTCCTACTGTGGTCCAAACTGAATACCTGCTCTGCCCTGTGTAAGCTCTGTGAGGATGCATGTGAGCCTTTCAGTCTAGCCTGGGATAGTAAAGCCTAGTTTTGAAGGACTTCATTGTCTGCAAGTGGTCAGGATATCTACAATGGAATTTGTGTCCGTGACCATCACAGAGAGCTCCAACTGTATGTCCAGGAATGGACTGAGTGGAATAAGGTAACGTGTTTAGATGTCAGGTCCTTGTTACGGGCTAGAGGAGCAGGGGTATGAGCTTGCTGTCCTCCAGGACCTACAAGAATTTCCTTTCTGTGAAAACACACAGTGAAAGGGAAAGGAAAGGGGATTGGTTTTGTTGTATTCATGCTCAAGTTTCTGGCTGAAATAGTCTGTGGGAAGAGTAGCTGCACCCTTCCAACCTACTGGACCATTGACGTACCATATCTTAACTTTTAACTTTGCAGGAGTCCCGCTGTGACTGTTTAGGCAGTCACAGAAAGTACCCTATGCTCCTCCATGTAAAGCTCTTGAGCCTACAGAGAGCTTGACTTCCATCTGCCATACCAAGCTTGGTCACCTTTAAAGGGGTAGCGCCCTCTCTTTCCCCTCCCTCTCTTTTTTAGTCTGAAAGCCTGGCTGTAACCTGATCTTGTACTGATTTAGAAATAGCTTGCCATGAACTCAATATTCATTTAGAAGTGGAGGTATCATCATGTAGCCCTCCCTCTCCCTTCCCCCTCCCCCTTTTTTTCCCCTCCTTCTCTGGACTTATCACCTACAATTCATTTCCTGACTGTGAGCTGTCTACTGAAAGTGGGAATGAAAATACTTCTTTACTGAATCTTACTGCCGACTGCCAGCTTACTGATACTGAAGTGACAGTTGTCATGAGGATACCTGTGGAGGGAGCTGCGTGTCTGAAGGAGGTCTCGAAAGAATGATTGTAGCACCACGGCTCAGCTGCAGTGTCTGACTGAGGTCCTGTACCTTTGCGGGTAGTGAGTGTGTATGAGAACGTGACTTGGGGAGGAGGATGTGGTCCCACCATTACTGGAGCTGGTCCTTGTCCTGAGGACAGCTGATATGCCGTAGATGAATGGAAAAGTGTTCATGGGACAGAGGTGGGATCTGTAGTGTTACGGTGTACAGCACCATCACCATGGCGTCAGCCTGTAAACTGCTGCACGTGAAGAGGAGGAGGCCTGCACTCTGTCCTTAGCGCAGAAGCCCCGATGGATTACGTTACCGTGGCACAGTTTACTTGGGTCACTGGGACTGAACAAGACACGCAGGGTGAGGGCTGGGCAAGGTAGTTTCTAAGCTAGTGAGTTACTCCGTAGAAGAAATCTTCCTTGGTCCTGGAAGAATGCCTTTTAGCTGACCATTTGGTCCCCAAATACCCTTCCACCCTCTCAGCTCAATAAAGAAAATCAGTTTTGTTTTTTTTTTTACCTGCATCGCAGTGCTGAGTGGCAGCACAGAGGGTTGTTGCTATCAGCTATGATGGGGAGGGGTCACAGAGATGTACTTGGATGTATCTTCTCAGCTATCTTTTCTGGAGCAGGAGTGGGGATGCTGGAGGGGTAGATTCTCCTCTGGGTTGTCCTGTACTGACCCTGGGACGCAGGATGCAGAATAAAAAAGGATTTGTTGGCTTGTTGATGAGTTCTTGTGCAAAGGTTCCTTCACAATAGGTATATATTTATAACCCTGTGTGTGTGTATATATGCGTGTGTGTGTGTGTTTACGTATATGTGTATATATATATATATATATATATATACGCATACACATGCTTATTTTTAAACTTCCATAAATCAATTTGAGACTTACGAAATGTGAGGTCAATTCTTAAGGTCCTTGGAATAGTAAATGTAATTTCTGTTCTAAGTTAGTCATGTTTTTGTAACTTGTCACTGTATGTTTGCTAAAGATGTGGAACTCACCTGGCTATCGAAGGGAAGGGGTGGTAAAGTAAATAGGGGCAAGCTGCAGGGACTGAACTAATTTGAGTGGTATAAAATGAATGGGAAATTGTGCTGATGACTGGGAAGCTAGCTAAAACTTGGTATTATGGTTGCAGCCGGTAGTGAGAAGGAGGGCCTGTGCATTATTTAGGGCTGAATATATAATTGAAGGGGTGCATGTAGTGCCTAAGGACTTAAAAATTACCGTTAACGAAGAGCTTTCAAAACATGAGACTGAAAAGAGCTCCAGTTAAAATGAAAAGTTAGGGATGACGTAAAGCATAATAATGAAACTTCCTTTTTGTGTTCCTTTAGTGATAGAAGTAAATGACCTTGTTACGGCCAACACGACGTGGGAATAAGTAAGGACAAAGAACTAAGAAGCAAAATGCGTGATGTGTCTGCGAGCTTCTCTCACTAGAACTAGAATATTTTTAGATATTCTTAATAATGTATTAAAAATAGAGAGCCCTGATGCAGTCTCAAGAGTAGGAAAGGAGGAGGTGACGTGCAAAAGAACAGAAATGAGCAAGTAAAACACAGTTACCATATGAAAATAATAACAAAGGTAGGAGAAAGCAGGAAAAAGAACAGATAGCACGGAAAAACTGCAGGCAATGGGACTTGTGAAAAATAATGCAACTGGAGAACTTGATGTAATGGAACACTTCTTTTTAATGGATTAAAAGTCTTTAAAAAGCACCTTCCTAAAGATGATATCTTCTCTGGGGATTTGTTTTAATTGCTAATGGTCTGAAATGAATATTGAAGAAGCTTAGTGGTAAGGCTTATGTGGCTAGATTTTTTTTTTCCCCTGCTTCTTACTGAAAGCTTTGTGCATTGTCATTAATAGCATATAAGCTTTTTGTAAAAACTAATTATTTGTGCATAGTTCTCGCTGTAGCCTGCTGTATCTCTTTTAATGTTGATTCGGATATGGAAGCATGCATCCTGAAGTCCTGTCACACTGGAATTAACTTTATATTTCAGCATGCTACTGCAAAAATAAATTTCAGGGAGAGAATTGTTTGTTGTTTTTTTTCTTTTGTTTCAAATTAACTACGAGTGCCAAATAGTTTTCAAAAAGAAATGTGCAGCTGCCAAACCTAGATAGCTGATGGAATTTTCCGTGGTTGCTGTTGACCGAGATTTTACTGTCAGGAGTTGATATCAAGATGAGTGCTATATTTTCAGGGCAGAAATTAGTTCTGCATGTTGGATGTTTCCTCTGTTTCTTTTTGATGCAGAAAGGCTAGAAACCAGCTGTTCAGAAGTCAAATAGCACTTGGTTAAGAGTGGAGGAAGGCAAAGCTTATTTGGGGGATGGGACCTCATACTGTCTAGATGATGAGTCCTCTGTTCTCTCTGGGAATGCGTCAGAGGGACATTGCAGCGGCTGATTAGCACGTCTGTACAGCCGTTGTTCTTTTTATAGCAGGTTGAAGAATATTTTCAACCTTATTTGGCCAGAATAATTTCCTTTCTCCAAATTGTTTTTCTAATAATGGAAAGGGAATGTCCTTGAAAATAGTTTTAGTTCTGAATTTTATGCGTCGACTGATATTAACAGTTCAAAACTAGCCAGGTATAGCTAGCGTGGTGGTGGCAGTGTTACTTTATGCACTTTTCTCTAGATATTTGGAAAAAAAATTTTTTTTTACATTTCTCAGATATGAGAAAATAAGGAAGTTTAGTGCATTAACAACTGTATTTTTACATATTTCTATTGAAGTACATTGAGCATCCAGATAAAAACTTGATAGTGCTCAGTTTCTCTCTTTTTCTTGATAATAGCAAAATGCAAGTTAATCTGTAGATATAAACGGACCTTCTGTTAATTAAACTATTTTTTTGATAAAATAGGGACCTATTCATTTATTTATTTATTTAATCTTGGGAGATAGTCAATAAAGATTATGGATGGCTGTATCCAAGCTTGGGAACATAATGAAGTTTTTCAGTAAGTGAATATACAATCTTGGTTCAGATAGGTACTGTTCTGCAAACAGTAGGCAGCAGTATTAGACAGTAATATTGAACAGCCTTAGGAAGATGTCTGAAAGAAACTGTGCCACAGAATAGCACAATCTATTCGTCTTCGCTTTGGCTTTTTTTTAAATAAAGAAAATAATTTGGTTTTGTTTTTCATTGATTGTAATTTCATACAAATGGGATGAAGCAGTGAATATTTAGCCTAACTCTTGTGAAAGAAGATTTCATTGGAACGTATAATCTTCTATCACATCATAAGATTTTTTTTAACAAAATAAGTGATGACAGTTCCTATGTAGCTCAGTGTTTTCTCTGAGCTTAGATGCAGTAAACACTAGCTTATTAGCAGTAGTCTTTTAAAAGTAGAAGTGCAATGGAATTGTTATATTATTATTGAAAATTATTATTTGCAGTTCTATTATACACAGAAGCTTAGATTTTTCAGGATATATAAAAATACTTTTATAAGGATTTTCCATTTATTTTATTCCGATGGATGTAATGTGAGAAACAAAGGCATAAAATACGGGAAAGAAATGCAGAGTTGGAAAGTAACTTTTAAAGTGTTTAGTCCAAAATGAAATTTCTTCTTGATGCCTCAGACAATCTGTGAGTAAGGGTGTTGTATTGAATTTAAATTTTCTAACACCAGCTTCTTGAATTCTGAGGTATTATTAGAGATAGTGTTAATGAAATTAACCTATTAACTTTTAAAGTGGTTATCTTTGCTTAAAGTTAAACCCTTCTGTTTAAAAAGCCTTTATAGCCAGCAACTTAAAATGAATTTTTGTCCTGGGCGTTCCATTCAGTAAGATCGAGTATATTTTGCTAAAATGTTTATCATTCTTCAGTGATATGTGGCAGCTGAATGAACACAGGTTCTTCTGAAACTATACTGATTTCACTTATTCACAGAAATAATAAACTATGTATTCCAGGGAAGTTGATAGTGAAACTGGCTCTATTCACAGATTCGTTGTGATGAGCTGTGACTCACACATTGATGATACAATGCAACTTTTGATTTTTATCCCTTCTCTTTTCTTGTGCCTTCTGTTCTTCTATTCTTCCTAATAGAATTCGATACTGAAGTTTTTCACGTGTTTGTTGGCTTTATGTAGATGTCACAGAGCTAATCAGATAGGCTTACAGTGTTGGAGAGCCCTTGTGTGAAGTAACTCCTTCTATACTACTTTGAGAGGGAGAATTCCTGAAAAAGGACAGATTAGCTGGGGAGTGCAGTCATATCCGAGATGAGGCGGTATGTTCAAGTTCCAACTGTTGAGTGGGAAAAAACCTATGATTATAATTCTGCTTTTGAACCGAGACCATGTATGTGTTTGGGTAGGTGAAATTACCATTTTCTGATAACATAGATTTTTTTTTTTTTTTTAACTGAGAGTGTGTAGCATAAATGTGTTTAAAAAGAAGTACCCTTACAGTTGGTAGATTATGTACAGCTTTAATATGTAAAATGCAGTTTACAGGATTCCTTTAATAGCACAGAACATGCATTTTCAGACTCAGAAAATATCAGTCTTGCCAAAGTAAATTCTCAACTATTGTATAAAATATTTACCTTGGCATCATATAACAGCGTGAAGTTCTCTGTAGATACCTCTTTAAGGTTCTTACTTAGTTGTATGTAAGGAAGAAGAGTTGCCTTCCAGAGGGAGACCATTAAAATGCAAATTATGTCTGACACTGAAAGGAAATTGTCATAGCGTTTTTGGGTGATAAACCTGACTCTTTTCCAACCTTGATGGGAACAAGGTTATTTTTACCCAACTTAGTGTTTGTATTCTGTATAACTACAGCTACTATAAAACAGCTTATTTGTGTGAGATGAAGCTGTTTTTGTATCGAATTTTATCTAGGTTATATACTGTATCCAAGAAGTAAAGAGTCCGTTTTCAGTTACATAGCTACTTCTGTCTTTCTAAAATGTTCGTGTTTTATCATCTAGATAGTGAAATATTTTCAGTTAATTTTTTGAAGTTCAATTTATTTCTAATGTGTTGTTAAGATTTAATTATTGTGTAATTTTTATTCAAAAATTTTTTAATTATTTGTATGCTTTTATTAATCTTTCATGTTATATCAAAATATGGAATAATGTTAAAAGCAATTTTACCACAAAATATATGTCATGACTAATTGTTCTGTTTTTTCTGTATTCTTTGGAGAACCCGCCACTTTTTTTTTTCTAATTGTGTTCTGCTTAAAATATCTGTACGCAAAAGAGCGTTCAAAGCTGAATGCTTTGATAGCTCAAGCTGTAGCTTTGTAACACTTGAATGTACTGTTTAATTCAGAAAATTCTTTTAATGGCATTAAAATTCATTCATTTTGGTTTTATATTTTAATGGTAGAGAATGCTCTGCATTTTGTTTCAATAAGCTGTACTATAACAGTAGAACTTGACAGTATAAAATAAATTGAAAACCTGGGACGAAGAGAAGAAAACTCCTTCAAATCTAACATAATTTATTGTTAGGCTTGGGGGCGGGGGGGGGGCTCAAAACTCACTATATGGTTTAAATTTGAAGAGCAGCATTTGAACGCTATCGAGTTTCTGTTAACTGAAACCATCTGGTAAGGTAGTTGGTGCTCTGTAATCTAATATTTCATCCTTCTCAGAGGAGTGTCTGCATCCAGTCGTTCAGTTTTATGTTCAATTTATGTAATTACCGTTGTTCTGAAACACCATTTTAAGTCTTAAATTGTAGTTCTGTATAAAAATTTTTTCCTCCTATCACTTAAAAAGGGAGAGGCTAACTCGAAAAGTATTTTTAACTGCCTGTGTTCCGTGTAATATTTCACAATATCTTCTGTGTTCTTACTGTGTTTTAGATAGCTGTAGTAAAACACTGTACAAAAGTTACTGTAAGAGTATTTTTGTTATGAGTAGTAGCTATAAAACTTACCCTTTCCTCTGGACTACTATTAGTGGTATATAAGGTAGAAGAGCCAGGTAGGAAAGCACAAATACAAAAAAACGTTGAACTAGGCGCAGAGCTGTGTAACTAAGTTAGGAAAGAATTAACAGTAGGTGTCTTGTCTCGGTGCGTTTTAATGCCCTTTATTTGAATTTCCTAGTATCGAGTGATACACTAGACGCTGCTGAGAGAGAGTCTTACTTTCACATCACCACTTACTGTATTTTGAAATACTACAAAATACTGCTCTGTATAAAATAAGTTCATACAACTGTGTGACTTGCGTGCAAGACAAGTAGGTTTCTAACGTCTTTTGATTCAGAGATACCTATGTTTTCCAGTGGCCTGTGAAACAGCCTCGATTTTAGTCACTTAGTGCCTGCAGGTTTTATGTAAATATAGCTTTTTACATTGGTTAGACTCCACTGAGTAGTAGGAGGTGTCAGTAGGGATGAAATCATATGAGGAGTCTGACAGTAGCAACAAAGTACTATTTCACACAAAAATTATCAGTATAAAGTATTGTGTTGCTTGAAGGTTTTTTGTTTTCATTGTTTTATAGTGAAGTTCCAAGTCTGTGATCATCTTATTGCTGATATTTGACTCTGAAATGTCATGAATTGAGTTAAAATACCGCTGAAGAGAAACTAAAGTCAAAGTCTTGTTTCAAAAGCACAGGTCCAGGATTCAGAATATATTCTGAATATATTCTGTTGGCTGAGCGCAGCCAACAGAGGCAGCGAACAGACGCAGCAGTTTACGCAGCAGTGTCTGGGCTCTGCCTGGGCCTTTTGTGGGCCTTGTTGGAAGTTGCGGAGACTTTCTGGGGACCCCCGAGGAACTAGACGGTGCTTGCTGCTAGCAGGAAGGGAGAGCTGGGCAAGGACTCCTGCAGGGGACCTTGACTTAACTTCTCCTGGGAAGTTCTAGCTAGGTGGGGCTGCTGCTAACGAGCTCTCTGGGCTGCCCTGGTCAGAGGGAGTTGGGGCTTTTGTTTCAGGTGGCTCCTGATTGGGTGGGTCAAGCACCCTTGTGAGTCACTGCTAGGCAGAGGCCTATATAAGAGCCAGGCCTAGAGCGCAGCTCCCAGAGCGCAGCCAACAGAGGCAGCGAACAGACGCAGCAGTTTGCGCAGCAGTGTCTGGGCTCTGCCTGGGCCTTTTGTGGGCCTTGTTGGAAGTTGTGGAGACTTTCTGGGGACCCCCGAGGAACTAGACGGTGCTTGCTGCTAGCAGGAAGGGAGAGCTGGGCAAGGACTCCTGCAGGGGACCTTGACTTAACTTCTCCTGGGAAGTTCTAGCTAGGTGGGGCTGCTGCTAACGAGCTCTCTGGGCTGCCCTGGTCAGAGGGAGTTGGGGCTTTTGTTTCAGGTGGCTCCTGATTGGGTGGGTCAAGCACCCTTGTGAGTCACTGCTAGGCAGAGGCCTATATAAGAGCCAGGCCTAGAGCGCAGCTCCCAGAGCGCAGCCAACAGAGGCAGCGAACAGACGCAGCAGTTTGCGCAGCAGTGTCTGGGCTCTGCCTGGGCCTTTTGTGGGCCTTGTTGGAAGTTGTGGAGACTTTCTGGGGACCCCCGAGGAACTAGACGGTGCTTGCTGCTAGCAGGAAGGGAGAGCTGGGCAAGGACTCCTGCAGGGGACCTTGACTTAACTTCTCCTGGGAAGTTCTAGCTAGGTGGGGCTGCTGCTAACGAGCTCTCTGGGCTGCCCTGGTCAGAGGGAGTTGGGGCTTTTGTTTCAGGTGGCTCCTGATTGGGTGGGTCAAGCACCCTTGTGAGTCACTGCTAGGCAGAGGCCTATATAAGAGCCAGGCCTAGAGCGCAGCTCCCAGAGCGCAGCCAACAGAGGCAGCGAACAGACGCAGCAGTTTGCGCAGCAGTGTCTGGGCTCTGCCTGGGCCTTTTGTGGGCCTTGTTGGAAGTTGTGGAGACTTTCTGGGGACCCCCGAGGAACTAGACGGTGCTTGCTGCTAGCAGGAAGGGAGAGCTGGGCAAGGACTCCTGCAGGGGACCTTGACTTAACTTCTCCTGGGAAGTTCTAGCTAGGTGGGGCTGCTGCTAACGAGCTCTCTGGGCTGCCCTGGTCAGAGGGAGTTGGGGCTTTTGTTTCAGGTGGCTCCTGATTGGGTGGGTCAAGCACCCTTGTGAGTCACTGCTAGGCAGAGGCCTATATAAGAGCCAGGCCTAGAGCGCAGCTCCCAGAGCGCAGCCAACAGAGGCAGCGAACAGACGCAGCAGTTTGCGCAGCAGTGTCTGGGCTCTGCCTGGGCCTTTTGTGGGCCTTGTTGGAAGTTGTGGAGACTTTCTGGGGACCCCCGAGGAACTAGACGGTGCTTGCTGCTAGCAGGAAGGGAGAGCTGGGCAAGGACTCCTGCAGGGGACCTTGACTTAACTTCTCCTGGGAAGTTCTAGCTAGGTGGGGCTGCTGCTAACGAGCTCTCTGGGCTGCCCTGGTCAGAGGGAGTTGGGGCTTTTGTTTCAGGTGGCTCCTGATTGGGTGGGTCAAGCACCCTTGTGAGTCACTGCTAGGCAGAGGCCTATATAAGAGCCAGGCCTAGAGCGCAGCTCCCAGAGCGCAGCCAACAGAGGCAGCGAACAGACGCAGCAGTTTGCGCAGCAGTGTCTGGGCTCTGCCTGGGCCTTTTGTGGGCCTTGTTGGAAGTTGTGGAGACTTTCTGGGGACCCCCGAGGAACTAGACGGTGCTTGCTGCTAGCAGGAAGGGAGAGCTGGGCAAGGACTCCTGCAGGGGACCTTGACTTAACTTCTCCTGGGAAGTTCTAGCTAGGTGGGGCTGCTGCTAACGAGCTCTCTGGGCTGCCCTGGTCAGAGGGAGTTGGGGCTTTTGTTTCAGGTGGCTCCTGATTGGGTGGGTCAAGCACCCTTGTGAGTCACTGCTAGGCAGAGGCCTATATAAGAGCCAGGCCTAGAGCGCAGCTCCCAGAGCGCAGCCAACAGAGGCAGCGAACAGACGCAGCAGTTTGCGCAGCAGTGTCTGGGCTCTGCCTGGGCCTTTTGTGGGCCTTGTTGGAAGTTGTGGAGACTTTCTGGGGACCCCCGAGGAACTAGACGGTGCTTGCTGCTAGCAGGAAGGGAGAGCTGGGCAAGGACTCCTGCAGGGGACCTTGACTTAACTTCTCCTGGGAAGTTCTAGCTAGGTGGGGCTGCTGCTAACGAGCTCTCTGGGCTGCCCTGGTCAGAGGGAGTTGGGGCTTTTGTTTCAGGTGGCTCCTGATTGGGTGGGTCAAGCACCCTTGTGAGTCACTGCTAGGCAGAGGCCTATATAAGAGCCAGGCCTAGAGCGCAGCTCCCAGAGCGCAGCCAACAGAGGCAGCGAACAGACGCAGCAGTTTGCGCAGCAGTGTCTGGGCTCTGCCTGGGCCTTTTGTGGGCCTTGTTGGAAGTTGTGGAGACTTTCTGGGGACCCCCGAGGAACTAGACGGTGCTTGCTGCTAGCAGGAAGGGAGAGCTGGGCAAGGACTCCTGCAGGGGACCTTGACTTAACTTCTCCTGGGAAGTTCTAGCTAGGTGGGGCTGCTGCTAACGAGCTCTCTGGGCTGCCCTGGTCAGAGGGAGTTGGGGCTTTTGTTTCAGGTGGCTCCTGATTGGGTGGGTCAAGCACCCTTGTGAGTCACTGCTAGGCAGAGGCCTATATAAGAGCCAGGCCTAGAGCGCAGCTCCCAGAGCGCAGCCAACAGAGGCAGCGAACAGACGCAGCAGTTTGCGCAGCAGTGTCTGGGCTCTGCCTGGGCCTTTTGTGGGCCTTGTTGGAAGTTGTGGAGACTTTCTGGGGACCCCCGAGGAACTAGACGGTGCTTGCTGCTAGCAGGAAGGGAGAGCTGGGCAAGGACTCCTGCAGGGGACCTTGACTTAACTTCTCCTGGGAAGTTCTAGCTAGGTGGGGCTGCTGCTAACGAGCTCTCTGGGCTGCCCTGGTCAGAGGGAGTTGGGGCTTTTGTTTCAGGTGGCTCCTGATTGGGTGGGTCAAGCACCCTTGTGAGTCACTGCTAGGCAGAGGCCTATATAAGAGCCAGGCCTAGAGCGCAGCTCCCAGAGCGCAGCCAACAGAGGCAGCGAACAGACGCAGCAGTTTGCGCAGCAGTGTCTGGGCTCTGCCTGGGCCTTTTGTGGGCCTTGTTGGAAGTTGTGGAGACTTTCTGGGGACCCCCGAGGAACTAGACGGTGCTTGCTGCTAGCAGGAAGGGAGAGCTGGGCAAGGACTCCTGCAGGGGACCTTGACTTAACTTCTCCTGGGAAGTTCTAGCTAGGTGGGGCTGCTGCTAACGAGCTCTCTGGGCTGCCCTGGTCAGAGGGAGTTGGGGCTTTTGTTTCAGGTGGCTCCTGATTGGGTGGGTCAAGCACCCTTGTGAGTCACTGCTAGGCAGAGGCCTATATAAGAGCCAGGCCTAGAGCGCAGCTCCCAGAGCGCAGCCAACAGAGAGATATTCAAAACCCGTCTGGATGTGATCCTGGGCAATATGCTCTAGGTGACCCTGCTTGAGCAGGGAGGTTGGACTAGATGATCTCCAGAGGTCCCTTCCAACCTCAACCATTCTGTGATTCTAGTGAGATAATGTGCGAGAATGAAATTGTCACGCCACAAGTGGGATTCAGCTTTCTGTTGGAAAGAAAGGTAACATGTCAGGAAACAGGTGCAATGGATGGGGCAATGTCAGCTCATCTAGCCGTGTAAGAAAAAGGAATACGCCAGAGGAGATCTGTCCTGGATCTCCCAGACATCCAGATAAATATGGTTAAGAGCAACAAAGATTTCTTGGGTGTTACATAAAGAAAAACAAATCCCGTTATCTTTGTCTCATACTTCTTGCCAGCCTGAAAATTTGCAGATACGTTGTAAATATGAAGGTTATCACCAGGATAACCTTCATTCTTTTGCCTGGTTTGAACTGGGTGTAGTTACACTTTTGTTGTTTTTAGCAAAGTGTTTTATGCTTTTTGGAGTGCATAAGTGGATGCCTTTCCCAAGGTAATTGTAAGATATTTAGCTACTCTGAGTGCTGTAGGTATGAGATTTGAGACAGCCACTGACCTTTGTGCATATGGGGTAATAATATGCCTTTGCATCTCACTGGATCTTGTGCTTCAGAACTGCTTTTATGTCTATCTGAGACCTGACCAGTGAGTTAGTCTGATAATGTTTCCAGACCTGAAGCAATTTAAAAGCAGATTTGTCAAACCATCTAAATTTCTTGGGAATAAGTCTGCATTGGTATAGAAATTGGGCAGATATCTAGAAACTTATTTTCTTTTTTTTTTTTTAATGTTGCACTTTTACTTCAGATGGTGTTGCTGTTTGTGCAGATCAGAATTATTGCAAACATCTAGTAGCCCTGAATCCTAGGGAAAAATGTGTATGTCTTTTGTAAGTTGTATGTATTGTTCTGATAATCCTTTTATGTATTTGAGTATTGGTAGTAGAGTAGAAGTGAGGTCAGCAAAATACCTTTCTCGACTTTAGGTTGACTGCCTTTATCTGATCACAAATAAAATTGTGGAATAATGAGAGGAGGGATTGTTCTATATATTGTAGTTTATACTAATTTATATAGTTGCCTGTAGAATGCAGCACAGCTCTTATTGACCTCTGTTTTTTTTTTTTCTTTTTCAAGTGGAGTGCACACAAAGTATGTTTACTTGTGTTATGAAACGGTCATTTAGAATGAAGATAATAATCTTTTTAGTATTTTTAAATTTTGAAGTGTATTTTTTTTCAGGGTATTTTTTCCGTATGGCTTGAGAGCAGATGCATTTCTAAGGTGCACTGGTTTCTAATACCTCAGATGCTTGCATGTTTACTGTTATTAAAGCTTCGTAGAAAGTATATGTATATTCACAGTAATGTGTAGTCCATGTATAATAGATGACAGATAGTGGGGAATGGCAACTAAGATTTATTAAAATGATCTATCAGACAGATGAGGTTACTTCCTTTTTTAATGCTGATTATTGGTATAACTCTGGAAATCTGATATTTTCTTTCATTAACAACTAACTCTGGGGTACTAATTTTAGTTAAGGGTGCTACATATTGCCAGAATATTTATCAAATGATTGGAAAGTTAGTGAAGGCAGTGATATTTGAGATAATGATTTTGCTAGTGATACATGAAGATAATGAAGATAGTAATACTTAGAATATGATTTGTAAGATAATGAACTGCAGGGAAGGAAAAAGGAAAAGATTGGTCTGGAATGTCCATCGGTCATAAAAATCCAATCAAGCACAGTTTTTTTTTTTTTTGTTCCTGGTTTGAAAGCTACAATAACTCTTTGCTGATAATATTTCTCTTAAGGTTTTTTTCTTGCATCACTGTGGGAGACTTTTTCCACTAACTACTGTGTGTATATCTTGGTTTACTGGTGTTGGAGAAGTTGAGGGAGGAGGTGTGAAAACAATAGCTGTGAAAGGGACTGTGAAGGCACCTGCTGGGTCGCAGGAGACGCGTGATAGAGGATTTTTCACCTTAGCTTAAGCTTTAATAGTTTTGCTTAGTCTGGTTCCCCTAATCCAGTGTAAGAATCTAGGATAGAGCAAAGCACAGACATTACAAATGCTGACACCATTCCTCACTTCATCTTATGGTTTATTACCTCGTGTCTTCAACTGATGCTTTTTCCTAAAACAAAGGCATGAGAGACAGGTAAAACTGCATTGTAGGAGTAGTTTTGCATGTCTGACTTCTCAGTGACTTTTAGTGCGCTTAATTTTACTTAAGTGATGACAGTAAAAAGCTGTTGTATTCAGAATATTTTTTCTCCTTGCTTGTCACCTAGCTGGTAAAAATGAAAATACACAGTTTTTATAACTTTGTTGTAAAGCCAATTGGGTAAATCTCTTTGCAGGAGTGTGCTGTTGCTGTGCTGCTTTGCGACCCCGCTACAAACGTCTGGTAGATAACATATTTCCTGAAGATCCAAAAGTAAGTGATGACTTAAAAGCTTTAAGTGATTGGCATTTGAATTTTTTTTAGTTGGTAGATAATACTTAAACTTTTTTTTTATTATTTCTTACTATTTATTTTTCTTCTTTTTTTTATAAAAGATCTTGTTCTAAGAGGAAGCCTTTAGTTACTCCATGTGTTAGCCTTGTCTAAGACAAAAACAAGAAGAAATAAAATACTTAAGCTAAAATTGATTGCAATAGATTAAACTAAAATCTTGTTTGCATATTGGATCAACTTGTCAAAATTATGCATTAAATATATGATGACTTTGGGGGATGGTGTTAAATAGTGCCAGTAGCATAAAGGTGTGTCTCAAAACTGATGAAGTGTTTCAGGAAATACTGCTTTTACCCAAAAGGTGGGGAAAGATTGATTGTTCTTTTCCTTCAGAAGTATTTTACTTAATTTAAATTGCTGATTTCTGCAATTGAGCTATCAGCAATTTTTCTCAAAAGTTCTATTTTTTTTTTCAGTAGCTTATTCCATTCTGTAGGAATTAGATCTTTGAACTTCAAGTAGATGAAAGGAAAGACACTTCAAAAGCTTTATATTCTCTGTGAATTTAATTTTTGTGCTTCTGTGTGTCTGTTTTCAGGATGGTCTTGTTAAAGCTGATATGGAGAAGCTGACTTTCTATGCAGTTTCTGCACCAGAAAAACTAGATCGAATTGGTGCATACCTAGCAGAGAGGCTGAGCAGGGATGTTGTCAGACATCGCTATGGGTAAAGAAATAAACTACTGCATAAAAATAGAAGCAAGCAAGTAGCTGCATTTCATGATCAGTGTGCTGGTGTAGCTAAGGAGGTAGCATAGACCTCATGAATGTCTTTCAGGGTATGGGGAAGTGGGAATAATTTTCTTTTCAGCCATGTGGGGCTATGTTATATGTAAATGTGAACTTAAACTCTATCATATTCTTAAGTCCTACCTGAGTGAGAACTTTGAAAGAATATTGAGTAGGAAAGTATTGAGTGTAAGAAGTTAAGTGGCAAGAATTGGAAAAGAAAGGATATATTATCTGTAATAGGCCATCATTTTTGTTATTAAAGATGTAGCTATTTTTATAATTTTGCAGAATGTGTAAATGGCTGTTCTTTCAGATAATTCATTTTGTTTATTCCTTTTCTTTACTATTTCTTTTGATTGGGTTGCTTTCTGACAGTACGGGTGTGTGGATATGTTGTTGACTTTCCATACTGGGATTTTAATAAGCATAAGAGCTATGGACTAGAAAGCTGGTTTTTATAATTAAAAATAAAATATGACGGGAGGAAAAATAAACTTGAACTGTATTTACTCTGTTACCAAATGTTTATTTTGACACACCTTCTAAAAACATTCTTCCAAAACAAATAGGAGAAACTGAGAGAATTTCTATTTAGAATATTAAAAAAAAAGCTATGGACTAGAAAGCTGGTTTTTATAATTAAAAATAAAATATGACGGGAGGAAAAATAAACTTGAACTGTATTTACTCTGTTACCAAATGTTTATTTTGACACACCTTCTAAAAACATTCTTCCAAAACAAATAGGAGAAACTGAGAGAATTTCTATTTAGAATATTAAAAAAAAGTAGGAAATGCTAATACTGTTTTTAGATCCTGGGAAAGATGCTCCTTCCTTCCTGTTCTTCTCTAAATTTTGTAGTTTTGTAGTAATAAGAACCTACATTGATCATACTGACGTATCAATAAATCTAACACGTATGCTTGTGTGAGTCTCACCATGATTAATTTTTAGGTATGTTTTAATTGCCATGGAAGCACTGGACCAACTTTTAATGGCTTGCCATTCTCAAAGCATAAAACCATTTGTGGAAAGTTTCCTTCATATGGTGGCCAAGCTTCTAGAATCAGGAGAACCAAAGCTGCAAGTTCTTGGAACCAATTCTGTGAGTAAACTGAGATGCTGAATCAAATCAGAATAAATCTTTTCTTATTTGCTAAGGCAAAAAAGTTTGAGAATTGACAGCGTATCTGCCAGTTAACATGAGTTGAAAATGTTCTGTATGTGGCGGAATTGTCAGTTGGACATATTGCGATTGGTATTTGGACCTAAATGCAAAAGAGATACAAGCTGAGGACAGAAAAACTGGTTTTTTCAGCCTCTAAAACACTTCTGACAACTGGGCGTATCTCCTGCAGATACGACTTCTTATGGAAGAAACAGAAAACTGTTGTCTGAATTCATATTTTGAATCTTTAACAGAATCCTCCTGGAGTCATTCCATAGGAGGGTGGTGTTTTCTTTCTGTCCTGTATTGAGAGAGATGTTATGAAATAGAGGAAATAATGTACTTTTCCATAGCATTGAGAGTACTGAGCAAGGTTCCTTCTGGGCCGGAGAGTAACCAGGAGGCAAAAACATTCAGCATTTTAACCCCACCATCTTATCAGGCTCAGTATTTCACCATTCAGATCCAGACTTGAAAGACATGACTGAAAGTGTTAGGGTGAAGACTAGAAGATCTAGTTTCCTGAACTAGAAGAGTAATGAATGGTATCAGTATTATGGTTCTGATGCTTCCATTATAGCCATTGTATTTCCCAGCCTGTACAATATGGTTCTAATAAACTGCAGGATTGTAACGTGAATTGTTTTGAGTTTGGTTGCTTTTACATGAGCGAGAGTAATGCTTGAGTTTCGTGTCCAACGCCGTTTTTAGCAGTGTATGGGTTCTCTGTGGATTCCCTAAAACTTTTAGGCCTGCCTTTGGGCATGATTCCCAGCTGATGGAATTAAATGGAGTTGCAGTTCAAGGAAACAGGAAGGTGTAGAGAGTTTCTACTTTGAAGTAGAATTTCTTAATAGAGTGTGACACAGAGTTCTTCTGCTGATGAAAGAGAGGAGCATGTCTTTGGACTGCAAATGAATGGGGCAGCTTGACTGAGGATAATGATTTTTTTTATTTATTTGAGCCAGATTACTGTGCTGTTTTTTGTTTTGTTTGTAAAATAGTGTCTGGTTGAGACCTCTTAGAGGAGTAGCTTTGGAATTTATTTCCTGGACTGGCAAACAGCAAGATGTAAATCACTTTCCTGTTTAACGTCCTCAGTGGTAAAAAGTTAATGCCAGCCTTGATTTTGATGCAGAAGACACATGTCTCTTCTGAAGAAATACATTACTGAACAGATGTTCCTGTTGTGGTCATCTGTTTGATATCCCTATCAATTCCTAAGGAAGCCTTTTATGAACAGAGCAGATCAATGGACTTCCTAAATTGGGAAATAATTTGTGTTTGTCTCTTGTAAAACTCAGTAACCAAAAATAATTATATTTTCATAAATGAGATGTCAAATCCTGTAAGAGCAGGAGACTGAATTGCATATATGTCTCTTGACATCATTTCAGAGGTTATTTTTAGCGTATTTATACTAATTTCCCTAGGCACCTTCTATAGTCAATAGACAGAACAGTCTTTTTGTGTTGACTCTAGAGAAGCGAACTATTTTGGCAGTGACAGATGGTCTGTTTCTGAGGATGCTGGCCTACTGTGCTTCTTAAATAAATTTGGCACCAGACATGGAGAAGATTTACCAGCACTTCAATCTTTCCCCCTCCCTCCCCTTCAAAAAAGAAAGAAAAAAAGTTGAGATTGTAAAGAGTTACTGAATAATCTAAATGTGAACTTAAACTCTATCATATTCTTAAGTCCTACCTGAGTGAGAACTTTGAAAGAATATTGAGTAGGAAAGTATTGAGTGTAAGAAGTTAAGTGGCAAGAATTGGAAAAGAAAGGATATATTATCTGTAATAGGCCATCATTTTTGTTATTAAAGATGTAGCTATTTTTATAATTTTGCAGAATGTGTAAATGGCTGTTCTTTCAGATAATTCATTTTGTTTATTCCTTTTCTTTACTATTTCTTTTGATTGGGTTGCTTTCTGACAGTACGGGTGTGTGGATATGTTGTTGACTTTCCATACTGGGATTTTAATAAGCATAAGAGCTATGGACTAGAAAGCTGGTTTTTATAATTAAAAATAAAATATGACGGGAGGAAAAATAAACTTGAACTGTATTTACTCTGTTACCAAATGTTTATTTTGACACACCTTCTAAAAACATTCTTCCAAAACAAATAGGAGAAACTGAGAGAATTTCTATTTAGAATATTAAAAAAAAAAAGTAGGAAATGCTAATACTGTTTTTAGATCCTGGGAAAGATGCTCCTTCCTTCCTGTTCTTCTCTAAATTTTGTAGTTTTGTAGTAATAAGAACCTACATTGATCATACTGACGTATCAATAAATCTAACACGTATGCTTGTGTGAGTCTCACCATGATTAATTTTTAGGTATGTTTTAATTGCCATGGAAGCACTGGACCAACTTTTAATGGCTTGCCATTCTCAAAGCATAAAACCATTTGTGGAAAGTTTCCTTCATATGGTGGCCAAGCTTCTAGAATCAGGAGAACCAAAGCTGCAAGTTCTTGGAACCAATTCTGTGAGTAAACTGAGATGCTGAATCAAATCAGAATAAATCTTTTCTTATTTGCTAAGGCAAAAAAGTTTGAGAATTGACAGCGTATCTGCCAGTTAACATGAGTTGAAAATGTTCTGTATGTGGCGGAATTGTCAGTTGGACATATTGCGATTGGTATTTGGACCTAAATGCAAAAGAGATACAAGCTGAGGACAGAAAAACTGGTTTTTTCAGCCTCTAAAACACTTCTGACAACTGGGCGTATCTCCTACAGATACGACTTCTTATGGAAGAAACAGAAAACTGTTGTCTGAATTCATATTTTGAATCTTTAACAGAATCCTCCTGGAGTCATTCCATAGGAGGGTGGTGTTTTCTTTCTGTCCTGTATTGAGAGAGATGTTATGAAATAGAGGAAATAATGTACTTTTCCATAGCATTGAGAGTACTGAGCAAGGTTCCTTCTGGGCCGGAGAGTAACCAGGAGGCAAAAACATTCAGCATTTTAACCCCACCATCTTATCAGGCTCAGTATTTCACCATTCAGATCCAGACTTGAAAGACATGACTGAAAGTGTTAGGGTGAAGACTAGAAGATCTAGTTTCCTGAACTAGAAGAGTAATGAATGGTATCAGTATTATGGTTCTGATGCTTCCATTATAGCCATTGTATTTCCCAGCCTGTACAATATGGTTCTAATAAACTGCAGGATTGTAACGTGAATTGTTTTGAGTTTGGTTGCTTTTACATGAGCGAGAGTAATGCTTGAGTTTCGTGTCCAACGCCGTTTTTAGCAGTGTATGGGTTCTCTGTGGATTCCCTAAAACTTTTAGGCCTGCCTTTGGGCATGATTCCCAGCTGATGGAATTAAATGGAGTTGCAGTTCAAGGAAACAGGAAGGTGTAGAGAGTTTCTACTTTGAAGTAGAATTTCTTAATAGAGTGTGACACAGAGTTCTGCTGCTGATGAAAGAGAGGAGCATGTCTTTGGACTGCAAATGAATGGGGCAGCTTGACTGAGGATAATGATTTTTTTTATTTATTTGAGCCAGATTACTGTGCTGTTTTTTGTTTTGTTTGTAAAATAGTGTCTGGTTGAGACCTCTTAGAGGAGTAGCTTTGGAATTTATTTCCTGGACTGGCAAACAGCAAGATGTAAATCACTTTCCTGTTTAACGTCCTCAGTGGTAAAAAGTTAATGCCAGCCTTGATTTTGATGCAGAAGACACATGTCTCTTCTGAAGAAATACATTACTGAACAGATGTTCCTGTTGTGGTCATCTGTTTGATATCCCTATCAATTCCTAAGGAAGCCTTTTATGAACAGAGCAGATCAATGGACTTCCTAAATTGGGAAATAATTTGTGTTTGTCTCTTGTAAAACTCAGTAACCAAAAATAATTATATTTTCATAAATGAGATGTCAAATCCTGTAAGAGCAGGAGACTGAATTGCATATATGTCTCTTGACATCATTTCAGAGGTTATTTTTAGCGTATTTATACTAATTTCCCTAGGCACCTTCTATAGTCAATAGACAGAACAGTCTTTTTGTGTTGACTCTAGAGAAGCGAACTATTTTGGCAGTGACAGATGGTCTGTTTCTGAGGATGCTGGCCTACTGTGCTTCTTAAATAAATTTGGCACCAGACATGGAGAAGATTTACCAGCACTTCAATCTTTCCCCCTCCCTCCCCTTCAAAAAAGAAAGAAAAAAAGTTGAGATTGTAAAGAGTTACTGAATAATCTTGTATGTGCTTGAGGTCTTGAGGTCTTGAGTCAGGTAGCCTTTGGAAATGTTTCAGCACTTTTTTTTTTTTTTTTTTTTTTAACTCAGTTTTGGTTTTTCTCAGTTTTGGTCCAATACAAATTTATGAAAGTTCTACTCATGGAAAACTATTGTGGCTATAAATATATCTTATAAAGTGTCTTGATTATTTTCCGTCCAAAACTGACGCTCAATGCTTCACTGGAGTACAAAGGCAAATGTGTCTCGAGCAAAACGTGACTGTCTTAGCTTATGTGAGTTGCCTTCCATTCCCCCTCCGTGTCTCAAACAGGTTTTACTTCAGCTGCGGGGACTCTTGTGACTCCTCAGAAGTCAGGGTTTCAAATAAAAGAAGTCTGAATACTGAATAACTTTTAGTGGCTTAAGCTCTTGGAAAGATCTGAAAGCTTCTGCTGTCTTCAGGGTTTTTCAGATCTCAGTTTTTGGAGACAGAACTTGCTCTACTTGGTGCTCTATATCGGACAAAGAGCCAAAGGATTAGTTCAGCTGTTTGACTTTTTTTTTTTTTTTTAATTTAAATTTTATTTTTTAAGTTAACTTGCTTTTATAAAGACAACGTGAAGAGTACTGTTTTAAAAAACATTGCTTATTTTTCATTTATATACTTTCATGCCTTCACGTTACATATCACTAATTCATATGACTTTCTAATAAGTTTATATTGTATTTATAAGT